AGGGTGGGTGATGGGTATTGAGGAGGGCACCTTTTGGGATGAGCACTGGGTGTTGTATGGAAACCAATTTGACAATAAATTTCATATAAAAAAAAAAAAGAAATTTTCAGTGTAGCCTTAGACAATTGTACAGGCTTTTATGTCACTGCTAAAATTGTTGACTAAATGATAAAGTACCATCTATTAGATTGGCAACATATCATATAGATTTAGAAATAACTACTTGCTTCATTTAAAGTTTAATGGTGTCTTGAGCCAGGTTTCTTAATTTTATGATCTTCGTGTAGGAAAAATCCATCATTTTGAAGCAACCAGAGAGTGATTTTCCTATTGTTAGTGTTCTTAAGACTTCAGTCTTTCTACTCTAATTGTATTCTAAGTGTTAATTTTTATCATTGTTTTTGTTAAAGTATTATACAGAGAGAATTACCCAGCTGGCCCAGAGTAAATATTTACACATGCTTAGATGGAAGAGGTTTTGCCAGCACAGTAAGATTATGGAGCAACTTTATCCTCTTTACAAGGTAGGAATCTCAAGAAGAGAACCTATGGGCTTTTTTTTTTTTTTTTTTTTTTAGAGAAAGAGTGGTGTGGGGGACACAGAGAGAGAGAGACAGAGAGAGAGAAAGAGAGAGAGAATATTTTAAGCAGGCTCCACACTCAGCACAGAGCTTGACACAGGGCTTTATCTCACAACTGTAAGATCATGACTCAAGCCAAAATCAAGGGTCAGATGCTTAACCATCTGAGCCACCCAGGCACCCCTCTTTTTTATAATGAAACAAAATGATCAATAAGCTTGTCAATACACATTATTAAGTATGGTCATCATACCTGTACATTAGATCTCTAGACTCATTCATCTTGCACAACTGCCAATCTGTACCCTTTGACCAATATTTCTCCACTCTGTAGTCCCTGGTAACCACTGTCCTACTCTCTGCTTCTATGAGTTCAACTTTTTAAAAAAAATCATCATGTAATCATACAGTATTTGTCTTTCTCTGTCTCAGTTATTTCACTTAGCATAACATCCTCCAAGTCCATTCCTAACGTCAGTCACAGGTGTTAGGATTTCCTTCTTTCTCATTACTGAATAATATTCCATTGTGTGTAATATACCACATCTTCTTTATTCATTCATCCATAAGCAGACTCTTAGACTGTTTCTGTATCTTGGCTATTGAGAATGATGTTTCAGTGGCCATGGGAATACAGATATCTCTTTGAGATACTGATTTTGTTTTATTTAGATATGTCCCCAGAAGTGGGATTGTTAGATTATATGGTATTTCTATTTTTAATTTTTTGAGGAATCTCCATACTGTTTTTCAACAGTGTAGCTTTTCAGTTTTTTTAAGTCACGGCTAAAGATGGTAAAGGAACTAGTGGATGCACCTATTTACCTGTTCTGCCTGTGGCAGAAGATAATGGCAACTATTTTTAAGGATGAGATTTAAAGGAACTTTTGTAT